GTAAACGTAACACTTTTACCTTTTATTATTGTTACTATTAGATAAAGACTTAAAGTAGATTTTAAAAAACAAAAAATCAGTTTCGTGATTTGTCAGGAAGAGTCAGGTGAACAAAAAAGCTCTGACCGTACGGTGTGATGTGTGAAATTACAAGCAGTGAACCACAAGTTTCGCTCTATTCCGACCGCTGACGTACGAAGTTCAAGCTTCCTTTCTAAGTAATAGATCCAATATAAGTTAAATAAAAATAAAATCAACAAATGTTATAAAATGTATATAATTTGTAAGCGTCATTGAATATGAATCATCAGCTATGTGTGATATCTCAAAAGATTGCATAAACATTTCCTATAAAATTTTAAAATATAAATTTCTTTAATCTTATTTATAAGATGGAGAGAGAAAGATTTTTATAATTTTATTTGTAATTTATATTATTATATTTTTATCATAAATATTTATTTTTATTACTATTAAATATTGGTGAGGATAAGTACATGTACATTATTAAAATATATATATAATAAAAATAAAGTTACTTATTAAATTTATAAATAAAGTTAACGAATTTCAAATATTTCGATAAGTTGATAATTTAAGCAAAATATGTGAATTTAAATATGAACCAATAGTAGATAAATATTGGTATTGTTGCTTCCACGGGCATGAAAGTGTGGAAGGAGCGCGTGCGTGTGGGGAACATTTTTTTTTTTTTAATTCCTTATTCAGAACTTCACTATTAATGTTACTGATCCAAATCTGATGACAGTAAAATTTATCTAGATTTTTCTCAATTTATCGGCGTCATTCCTGCACAGCACGTTAACCTTTTCTCTATCATTTCAATTTCATTACAGGTTTTGAAGTGGATGTATGCAGAGGTGTTAACAAAATGAGATGGGACAAGTTAGGGACACCATGTCTTTTGTCTCGTTCCGAAAGAGATCAGAATTGAATTTTTGTTCCGCATTTTATTTTGTCTCGAAAATTATCTCATTTTATTAAGAATTAAGATGGGATGAGGACATCCTGTTATCCTAATAAATAAGATAATATTAAAAAAAAAATAGACAATAATATTTATTAAAATTTTAGATTATATGATTTATTAAGTTTAAAATCATACAAGTAGATAAATCATAATAATTTAAAATCAATTATTAAATTACATTAATCACAACTACACATTATGATAACAATTACAAGTGACCTCTAAGTTATAAGAGTAATAAAGGTAAGCTAAGCACAACATCAAATCATCGTTCTTCTATTAAATAAATAGATATAAGAATAAATTGTATTAATATAATTAATATATTATAAAGAAAAATATCGCCTTATTTATTCTATGTTATTAAAACTATCAATATAAAAAAATTTAGTTTTAAATAAAATTATTAATATAATTAATATATTTAATGTGTATTTTTAAAATAAAATATATATATATATATATATAATATTCAGGACGGAATGAGATATTTTGATAATAATCTCATGTTTTGTCCTGAACTTTTTTCTTATCTCGTCTCACAAAGTCTCGTCCCGATTATTTTTGAATTGAAATGAAACTTGTCTTGATACAATTGAGATGATATCAAATTAATTAAGATAGATATAAGCTAAACACTCCTAGATGCACATTTCTTCTCTCTATTGCCCATAGGGATCATTTTATTGGAAGTCATTTTGTTAATGATACTATCAAATATTAAATTTTGGCAATTCTCTCCATAGGACTTGAACCTTGATTCATCATAAGAAGATTAATTTCTTTTATTAAATCTAACCCAATTAGTATGACAAATCAACCATGAAAAATAGTTGATAAGCCGGAAAAAACTAATTGATATGATAAATTATAATTATCAATAAAATAAATATTTAAATTATTTATAACTTTTATTAAAAACTTTTGTATAAATTGAAAAGGAAGGTTTTATACTGATCATTTTATTTTTATCATTATTATGGCCAGACTGAAGAATCCTTTGGAATGTCAGCATATTTCTTCTTGAATTAGGCTTAGGTATCCGCAATCTGAAAAAAGTAATCAAATAGCAGATGAGAGACTCAACCACGTGGCAATTAAATGAAATTATTTTAATATAAATGAAGAAAATTTATAATTTTTCTTTTCTCTGAATGAATGGTCAAATCCTTTGGGCAGTGACAGTGAGTAGGTGGATATGAACAGTGTTGTGACAATTCCTCGAAGCACTGTAGTCTCAGAACTCCAATCCACAGTCAGCTTTGGCTTGCATCTCACGTTCCAAGAGAAATTTATATAGCAGTTTTCATTTTTAAAAAATAAATATAAATAAAAATTTAAAAACAATAAAATAAATAAATAAGTAGTATGAAATGCGATAATCATTTTAAAGCTTTTAGAAGCTTATTTGACATAAATTTTTTACAAATTATGTTTGTAACCCTGACTAAGCTAATAAAAAGTATAGTTGTTAATATATATCTAAACTAAAATTATTAATAACAAGAGTAAGTTAATTTAGGAAACATAGTTTTTAATGTGGTTATATAATAAAAAGTACGATTTTTATCTTAACAATTAATTTAGGTATAAATAATATAGTTGGTCATGTATGCAATAACAATTACATTTCTTACCCGATAAAAAAAAATTACATTTACTATATTAACAACTTAACATTTGCTATTAACAAATTTAGTTTATATTTTAACTACACTTTCTATTATTTTGTAAAAGGTTAGAAACATAATTTAAAAAAAAATCATGGCAGGTAAGTCTCCAGAGTAATTACTCATTTTGTAATATTCTCTCCGTTAAAAAATATAAAATATTTTTTAAAGAGTTGGATGTTAAAAAAATATAAGGTATTTTTAATCTTTTAAGGTGTAATCATTATCTTTTTTTTCAAAAATGCTCTTATTGATAATGACTTCATATTTATTGTAAGGTATTTAGTAAGGGTAAATATAAAAAAAATAGGGTTAGTTAAAAAGTAATTAACTATTTATTGAAATAAAACTTGATAAAAAATATTTTATATTTTTAAACAAAAGGAGTATTAGTTTATCATTTATTTATTTTAAAGAAATTTATTTACTAGTTTTTCAAAATAATATACATTTTTTGGGGCATGTTTACGTGTCATTTTCTTTTATTCTTTTTAACTTTCTTTTCAAGCACTTCGTTACACTGACCCAATTCTTTTTGCATGCTTTCAATTATTATTTTTTATATAGTTTACATTATAAAACTTTAAAAATTACAACTAGTTTTAGAAAATTAAGATCACACTTTTGGTTATTTAATAAAAAATAGAGTAAGCCTGGTGAATTGTGATAAAATTTCGGACATATGTCAAGCAAATTTATATATTCCTTGTGAATTGGTAGGCTATTCAAACACAGATTTAATACTGTGCAGGGCCTAAGATATTTTTTTTCAGATGATACTATCGTGGCTTTTACAGTTGAAAAACCTAAAAATTCAGAAAAAGGAGTATATTGTTCGCTAATTATTTCTTGGCATGGTTAAAATTATTATAGGAAAATTAATTAAATTCCATGCAGATATTTGAGTAAATTACGAGAGAAAAATTTTCTACAATATCTTTTTAATTTTAAAAATCAAAATAGAAAGATTAAAATTTATTGCAATGGTAGAGAACTAAATATAATTTTGCCTTTGTTTATTCATTTCATACTTCAGTAACTTTTTATTTCTAAATAATGAAAATAAGTTGCAAAATATTACTAAGATAATGTCTATTGGTATTATAACTAAAAATGATTAGAACATAGAAAACTAGACTAACTTCAACTTCAAGATAGTGATCATGGTTAATTACCAAACAAATATTCAAAATTTCTCAATAATTAATTAACAAGTCACATCCCATCCCACTGTAACACCCATATGAAGAAGAAAAAACAGATCAAGTTCTTCTGGTATTATTTGGCCCAAAAAAAAAAAAATCTTCTGGTATTCAAGCGTACAACCAACAACTTTATCACTCTTTGATTAGCCTATCACGAGTTAATCACGTAGAAAAAGAAATGGCAAATAATTAAATAAAGGAAAAATAGCTGTACTATTAATGTATTCCGTTAACATTACTATATTTTTTTTCATTATTTCTAATACCTTACTCTCTCTATTTTTATATATAAGAAAAAAAATTATATTACATAATTTAAAAAAATTAATTAACCATAATTATATTTAAAAATAAAAAATTAGACTAAAATATTCTATATTAATCAACATAATCATATATTAATTATTTTTTATTAATGTAAATTATAAGAGATGATTTAAAAAATGTGTAATAAATAATTTTTTTACAAATAAAAACGAAGGGAGTACGTTTTTTAAAATTTATCTATATGTGCTTTATTACTAAAAGTTAAATATATTGATTTATACGTAATTTTGTTAATTCTATTATTAAATTGATAAAATTACGATAAATTGAATATTATATCAGTAAAATGATCAACCATTTTTTTTTTTTGCCCTTTTGTCTTAATCATAGGGTCTTAGTCTTAATAAAATTTCAGCCATAAGGTTTCAGAAATCTCGTGTTTGATTGTTTGTTTTTTTTTTTTTTATGTTCTGTTCATTTTTTTATACAGCTTATCATGATTGTAATTAATTTTAACATCTCAGTAAAAAAGGAATTTATATGGATCTTACCATTGTTTTTTTTAATTAATAATTTTTCTCTTTTAATCATTTTTTATTCAGCTCCTCATAATTTTATTTAATTTTAACATACAAGAAATAAGAGAATTTATATACACCTTATCATTGTTCGGTCCTTATAATTATATTTAAAAATATAAAGACATGTTGCGAACAAACGATATTTAAGGATCTAGGAGCAACTGAACAATATAATAACTAGTAACAAATCACTGTAAAAATACCAAGAACAACAGTTATAAATAATATCAGTGCATACACCAATGGTCTGATCTGATGAAAGCATAGAACAGAGCAACAAAAGAAGAAACAAGAGACAACCATAGAATAATAAATCCTCTTCACAACCGTGAAACATCATTTTGTTTGACTTTGTCCTTGATCACACAACTTTTACCCATACCTCACCTCATTATCACATGGTAGTACATCAACCAGAAATGAAAATTTTCCTTTCTTTACAAGAAATGCCTGTGGAGGACCATATTGACAGTTCACTAATCTTTCTAATTAAGGATCAGAGTCAAAATGCTTGGAATAACGAAGAATCACTTCCTCTTCGTCTTATCTTTACTTCTGGAGGAGAAGATTGAAGCAAATCCAAATAGATTTGCAGATGGAACATTAAGAATCACAGGGACACCATTATTACCATAAGATGCAGTCTGAGATTTCTTCAGTGGAGGCTTAAGATAACTGTTGTGACCTGACGAAGAGGATGAAGACCTTGCTGATGACGCATGCAATTTCTGGGCATTATTATTATTACTTTTACCTTCTTTTGACACAGACATGTTCTTCTTAACGCTTGAGGTAGAAGGCGAGGTTGAACCAGTTGAATAGCTGCGAGACAAAAGTGGCAAAGGGCATAAGCTTCTTCCATACCCAGTTCCATAGCTCTTGCTTCTCTTGAATCGCCAAAAGGACTTGTGATTGTGGCCTTGCTTTTCACCATCTGCTTCTTCTTTGAGTCTCTCTGGGTTTGATACTTTGGTGGCTAAGGCATTTTCTCGAACAGTTTGCGCGGGCAGAGATTTAGGAAACTGATGATCGGTTTGTTTCAGGGGAAAATCCTTCTTCGTCTTCTTCTTCTTCTTGATTTCGGAGGGAAGGAGTCTCCCATCTGAGAAAAGCTCATCGGCTGAAGATGATTCCTGGTCAAAGGTTTCACGAACACAGAAATCAAAATCAAACGACGGATTGTTCAAACCGGAGGAATTCGATCGAGAAAGGTGTTGCTCAACAGGGATCGCATTCGAATGGCAAAAGTCATAAGAGAATGAGATTCTCGGACTCATGGGATCTCCACAATTTCCAGAGAAAAATTCAATAGCCATTAGAGAAAAGAAATGCTACAATTAAGAAGAAGAAGAAGAAGAAGAATGTAAATGAAATAGGGGCAAAGGTAAGTGAAGTAGAAACCAGAAAGTAGTATTTAATATAGCATTGAAATCTAAAACAGGGACCGAAAGTAAAGAAACAGAGAGAAGAGGTCAGAATTAGAATAAAATAAATGAAGGAGGGCTTAGCCGTGACTCGTGAGAGGGATGCGATGCCGGAGTTCTGACACAGTTGAAAATGGAGAACAAGATGGGAGAGATGAAATGAATCAGTGGTCCAGGCAGAGAGAAAGAGGAGAGATGCGTTTTCTGGGGAATGAGAAAAAATCAATGGAGACTTTTGGGGAATTAAGCAACGTGACCTGTTTTTTTCTGAAGGAGACTTCTGGGGGTTGATGATTTGTTGGGCTATATTGGAATGAAGCGACATGCGAGGAGAGTCTTCAGCTTGACCGAGTAAAAACCCAAAAGCCGGCTCGGTTTAAGGCTGTCAGAAAAGACGCAAGTGACGCATGTACTCCCTCCACTTTAAATATAAATAAAATTATTATACTTTTATTCTTAACTATCACCTTCATTTAAAAATATAAAATATTTTTTAAAAAATTAAATATTTAAAAATATAAAAAAAATTTAATCTTTTAAAATATGATTATTGTTTTTTTAAAATATCTCTATTAATAATAATTTTATATTTATTATAAAATATTTAATAAAAATAAATATAAAAAGATAAAATTATTTAAAAAGTGAGTAACTATTTTATTAGAATAAAATTCGATTAAAAATATCTTATTTTTTAATAAAAATAGTATCTTTATTATAAAATATTTTTAATTATTTCATTGAAACTAATACTATACTTAGCTTATAAAAAATAGTAAAAAAATAAAAAATAGAAAAGTATAAGGATGTAATTTTTTCCTTAATATAGTTAGCTAAATGAGAGAAAATTAAAGGAAAGAAAAATTATTAATTTCATATAGATAATAATAAAATTATTATTTGTAAAAATATATTTATATATAATAAAATTTAATATTTTAACATATTATTTGTATAATTTTTATTATATATTAATGATTAAATAAAAATATAATTGTAAATTATGTTATCTACGGCAGAAAGAAATTATTTTGTCTAATTTTAAAATTTATTTATTAAATTATTAAATATATAATAATCAAAGTTTAAAAGTGAAGGAAAAATTAAGATAAAAATGGAGCAAGGCAATAAAAAAGTATGAGTAAATTTAAAAATTGAATTTTTTTATCCAACATCTCATTATATTTAAAAAAAAAGTTAAATATAAAAATATATTAGTCTTATATATTATTTTTCTCCTAATTTTCTCTCCCTAACCAAGTTTTCTCCCCACTTTTCTCTTCTCTGTACTTTCTCTTCCCTGTCATATTCTCTTATGCGAACCACACACTAGGAAACGTGATTCTTTAATTTTATCATAAAATAGAATAAATTTTTAATTTTTCTTTTGTTTAAATGAAAATTTTTGAATTCTTCATTATATTCTCTTTCATAATTAATAAATTTAAATAAAAATAATATTTAAAAAATATAATTAATATCCTATCAAGTATTTTATATTAAACACCAATTTTTTTTAAAAAATTGCCCCTATAATAAAGACATAAGAGAATATAAGTTTTATAAGTAAAATAATACTTCTTGAAAAGTATTTATGGCATCTCTTTTAATTTTCTTTCACTAAATAATATTATTATTAAACTAAAAGTAAAAAAATAATTACAAAGGTGTTTGGTCCAAACTTTAAAAAAATTAATCATTTAATTTTTATAATTTTAATTTAGTTATAACTTAATCGTTGAATTTTAGCTCATAATTAATTTTTTATAATTTTAACTTAATTATAATTTAATTCCTAAACTTTAACTTCGTATAACTCAATTTTTATTATTTTAAAAATTTAAAATATTGGCCTATATTTTATGAAATAAAATTATAAAGAATAAAATTATTTTAAAATTTAGGACTAATACTTTAAATTACTAAAAATTTTAAAGATTAAAATTTTATAAATAATTTTAATATTTATAATTTTATTTTTTAAAATACAGGGACCAATATTTTAAATTACTGAAATATAAGGATTAAGTTGCAGTGAATCAAAATTTAGGAGTTGAATTACAATTAAATCAAAATTATAAGGATTGAGTTACAATATGTTAAAGTTTGAGGATATAACTCATCAAAGCTTTAGGAACTACATGGTTATTTTTTAAAAATTTTTTTAATTTCAAACATAATTATTAGGATTAATGAACTTTTCAAATTAAAATTTTCTTATGTTTAAAAACAGAGGGAGCATATAATAGAAATAATCTAACTTTTAGTATTTAAACATTCTTTTGATTATCAATTTAGTTTTCAAATTTTGACTAAGTACAATTTAATTCTTATAATTTATTGAGTTAATAAATTATAGAAACTGAGTTGTACTAATTAAAAAATATAAGGATTGATTTATTAAAAAAATATAAGAACTGAATTGTTGCTAGTTAAGAAATTATTGGATTGAATCTTGTCATGTGTCCAAATTTAGGGATTAAATCAATCATTAGGAAAAAAATTCAAGAACTAAGAGTTATATTTTCTTATATAGTAATTTAAGTTTAAATATAAAAAATTAAGCATATAACTTTTGATTTTGCTATTTTTTTCCGAAAACTTTTTAAACTACCAGAAGGACTAGAATAAACCCCTAAATATTGTGTTGGGGCTTTAAAATTAAATTTAAAGTTAAAAAGGGATAAATTCTTAAAAGCTTAGAAGAATTGTATCATACAGGTATGGATCACTTGCATTGTATTAAATTTAAGAAATAGATTATCGTTTTATGCCTCATGAAGAGTCTGACTCTCTATTTTTTAAACCTGAAAGAGTTTGGATTCTTATAAGTTATACATATATATGTATACATAGAGAGAGAGAGAGAGTTTGACGTTGATGTTGAGTTATAGAGTACTTGATTTTTTGTTTGTTGCCTGCTTAATTTATACTGGATTTAATAGACATACATATGTGCGTGTATATATATAATGATGATTCCTGAAGATATCATGAACATAAGATTGAATTATATTATATCTTGAACATGTGTCTATATAATTCATCATAAAATAAGAAAAAAAATATAAGTAGTATGAAGGACAAAATAATTATTAATTACTTATTGTATCCTCATAAAAAAAATTGACTATAATATTATTTGTTACTCTAAAAATAATTATATATCCTTTGTCATATGACTCAATGCTTTAGGGCTTGTTTGGTTTGGTTCTTATTTTTTATTTTCAAAAACTATTTTGTAAACTAATTTTTAAAACAAATAAAACAAAAATATGTTTGATTATGTTAATTTAAAAATAATTTTGGGATTAAAAAAGGCCGATAATGGTGGTCATTAGTGGCTAATAGTGATGGTTTATGAGAATGGTTAGCCATAACTACAATTTTAATTTTCAATAGTTAAATGTAGTACTTTTTACAAAATAAAGAAAAACACAAACAGTTTTAAGGTATTTCTATTTTTATTTTAAAAATAAAAAATAAAAAATTTTAAAAATATTTACTTCAAAAACATTTACAGAAACAAATTTTTTATTTCTTTACTTTTAAACACATAAAACAATTTTTGAAAACAAAAATTATACCAGCACTTAATTTCTGATTTTTTAACTCATTGGCCAATATTTCTTGCTTGTAAAGTTAACAGTGGTTCGTGTTTTCAAAATTTTTGTGTCAAAATTATTTTAAAAATATTATTATGCTGCATAATATTGTTAATAAAAATTTTATTGTAACTAACTTTTGAGTAGTAAATGCTATCATCAATTAAATTAGTAATTAAAGAATTGAATCTCAACTTTTATGTATGCAACAATTTAGTTTAAAAATATTTACATATTTCTCTTTGTACCTCGAGGGAGTTATTTTCTACCACCAACAAAGCCTAATTCTTTATGCTTACCCAAAAGTAAATTTTTCCTTAAGCTTTTTTTATTGAGAGAATATCATCCAAGGCCATTATATGAGACATTATAGCACAAAGGCCCAAAACTTTCTAAAACTTCATGAAGAACCAAAAGTCTTTAATTGTAATTAAGGTTTATGAGCCAATTTATGAGATTGTTTTGTAAATGAGTTCCTTATCTAAGACACATATGCAATTTTTTCTATTATTTTTCTCCTAGTAATTGTTTAGAACCAATAATTCAAGAAAGCCAAGCTTATATGAGCCAGGCTCGAGTTGGGCCGAGTTTAAAATATTCAAATATACAAAAGTTTATGTAACTAAATTTGACCCTAAACGCTTCTTGTTTCAAACTTATTCTAAAATGTTTAAATTGCAACACTCTCAAATTTCAAACAAAATGGTATTGATGACAATGACATGGACATGGACATGTTAGAACTTGATGCACCTTCTCTTCCAACACTACTACTAGTAACCGAAGATGATGAGGATCCCACATCTTTATAATCACTGAAGAAATAATACATAAATAAATTTTTTCTTTTTCTTATATTATCTTTAGATCAAAATTTTGAATGACTATTTGATTTAATGTTTTATAAAATTTTACACACAAATATATAAATAAAATAGCGTTAAAATTTTATTTGAATAATTTAAAACTATAAAGAAAATTTGGGAAAAGAAAATCACTTTATAAAATATTTTAATAATATTTTTTATTTTTAATTAAATTAAATATATCAAATTTTAATGATTTAAGTTTCATTATATATGTTAATAGAAATTTTTATAAAATATTGAATCATAAAAGGAGATTTATATATATATATATATATATAGAATAGGAAGAAACATAATTAAACTATAATGTAAAGCACTAAATTCCTAACCACCTATAGCATGTGCATGATAATATGTGAAGGATGTAATATTCACTTTAACATTATCAGAACAACACTCTAACAATACTATTATGATAATCAAGATTAATAAATTTTTTATATAAGTTTATCATAATATAAGGGTTTAGAAAAATTAATTTAAAAAAATAGGATCTAGAGAAACCCTTTTTGAAAATATGTTTGAACTCAAACCATAGTTTAAAACAAATAACACAAGGTAGTAAAAGCATAAAAATCAATTATACCACTTAAATACATCCAATAGGCATTCTGGAAAATTTTCAAAAAATGCCCCATTTGCCACAGTGCACAAGTCACCTACCAGGGCAGATGACATAAAGGGACTATGTACCTCTCTATGCAGTGTGCCACGGCCTAGCTACTTTACATTAGAATGTGCTCTTGTTATGATGACAACTCTTCCAGCCAATTTTCAGAATGCGTTGTTTTACCATTCGACATCTTATTTGAGCAATTCAAATGTCACATGTTGCTCATTGAGTCCTCTAACTATTGGCATTGTTCTCATATCTAAATATTTAACTATCTAAAAATTGAACACCCAGACATGAATTTATCCGTTTTACTTTCAAAACAGATACAATGGTATCCAAAACCCACAACCTGGTGCCTTTAAAACCACTTGAACTAACTCAAATAGACCACGCACCACCTAATAGGCCAATCATACCACACCAAATTCAATCCATTCACAAATTGGCTACTAAAACCTTGGTTTCACAATAAATTCAAGGGGTAATAACGAATTACATTTAAACATTTCTCACGGCCAATCTAACACATAAACCACATAAAACCATCACTTGCACTATTATCTCGACCTTTCACAATCATTTTATCATATTTAAAAATACTCAACCATCTAAGATGACCTTAATAGAAAACCAAGTTTAAGGAGCAAAACGTGATAACGGTAAAAATAGAGTTTTTGGATTTATTTTGCTAAAACCATGGCCTAGGCTTTAAGAATTGATTATTTTGCCTATCCAAATAGGTTAGACTTATAATAGGCTTTTGAAAGATTGTAGGCTTAACAAGCCCAGTCAGTTAATATATGATTATGAAGATTGTTTTGAGAGATCCAACATTTTTTTGGGTAAAGTATTAACTTTGAACATGTATTATTTTTTTTAGGAGTATTTGATAGCTTAAACCATAAGATGATGTGAAATAAATCATAAACTATTAAAATTAAAGTATTCAGTAAACCACCATTAACTTTAGTGGATAGTTGTTATGTAGGGCTCACAATGACACATGGCATTCCACGAGTACTCCACGTCAACATGCGTGAAAATGTAAATTTAGTTACAAATTATATTTTGAGGAGTATTAGGTAGTCTTTACTATAAAAAATGAATCATCTAACACATTCCCATCAATTTTGATCAAACACCATTTATTTTTATACTTTTTAGGCCTACAATACATCAATCTCTTTAATTTTTTTACCTTCATTCTCAATCTTAACTTGAGAATAAGAGAGTTAAAGAGTTCTTATTTGAAGGCATTTACAAGAATGATGTTAATGAAGTAGAACCTTGATTTTACTATGTATGGAAGAAGCTTAATTCTAACTTAAATTTACCCATTAATTATTCCTTATACTTTGTTGGCATCGTCTTCGTGAATGTTTTAGATAAGAACTTTTTGAACTTCTTTTTTTTGAGCTAAAACTAAGAACAAAGGCAAAAAAATTGAAGAGATTGATGCGTTGTAGATCTCATAAATTTGAAAACGAACGATATTTGGTTAAAATTGATGGACAGGTATTCAATAGTTTATTTTTTATAGTAGAAACTATCCAGTGTTCCTCAAAAAATAGTTTGTAACTAAATTTACATTTTTACACATGCTAACGTGGAGTGCCCATGAAGTGCTAGCATCATTGTAGGCCTCACATAACATTCGTCAAATAAAATTAATGACGAGCAATTAGATGCTCTTTTTTAAAATTTATAATTTATTTTGTACCATCTAATAGTTTGAGTTATTAGATACTGTTGAAAAGATAGTATGTGGTCAGATTTACACCTTTATCCTTTTTTTTTTCGGGTGACAAAATAACCTTTTTTTTGTAAATGAATTTGTGTTTATTGCTTTTGACTTTATTATAAAATTTACTCAGCAATGAGAGTTGGGTTTAATAGAAAGGGTTAATTCTCTATAACATGGTGAACCACTATTCACATTCTTGTTGAAAAAAGTATCCATATTTAATATCTAATTGTGCCTTGAACATAATTGCTTTTAATAAAAGGATATGTGTAGGTAACCAAAAAAAAAAAAATTGCTTGAGTCCTGTTGGTTTGCCAAACAAGGGGAAAACAACATTAACACAGAACAACTGGAAGAAGAAATCCTATTTTTTAGAAGTCAAATATGACTAAAAACCAAGCATTAATTAAAGGACAGGGGAAAATCTGGCCAAAAACAAACTAAAGGATTGGGAAAACTGTTTTACAAATTAACGCAGAACAACTGTAAGAAGAAATGCCTTATTTATTTATTTATTTATTTTGATTGATACAAATCTGTGAGAAGAAATCTTAATCCTTAAGATATGGTCGATTGGCTATTCACTTTCATGGCAGAGGAAATACACAATTTTATTCTGAAGAATTAATATAAACACAAACACAGACGAAATGCAACACACACACACACACACACACAAGCACAAGCACTCATTTTTGTCTGATAGCAAGTGATTCTAATAAATTTCTTCAACATTCGATAGGTCCACGCGAAATTTCTTCTAGTTCAATATTAAACATCATAGTTATGATTTAAAGATCATATCGGAGTATTTATCGATGATTTGTTTGCTCTCAGTGATCACAATTCCAGGTAAAAAATGTATTAGAAGTAGGGGAGAATTTCAGTTAAAGACTAACGAAGAGATTTAATTTTAGATGGATTTTAAAATTTTAGTTCAATTCAAGAAAGAAAAATTAAAAAAATTTTAACAGTAAAAAAATCAAAATACTTTTTACATATTATACAGAATCACTATTTATTAATTTTTTATTGCACTTATTAATTTATTCATATCAGTTATAAATCATATCATTTTGTCAGACAATCAATAATATTAGATATTAATTTGCTAACTTTATTTATTACTTTACGAACATTAGTTGTAAATTACAAAACTTGTCAGTAATTTATAATTAATGTTAATAAATTACAAAACTTATCAGTAATTTATAACTGATATTTTTGTTTATGATTGAAAAACTGATGTCAAGTCTTATATAATTATTAACATATCAACTCATATAATTTACAACTTATATTCATAAATTAACAAATGGGGTAAGAGAATTAACAATTAGTGATTCTGCATTTCAAGTAAAGGGCATTTTGATATTTTTACTATTAAAATTATTTTAACTTTTTTTTGGAATGAATTGAAATTTTATAATATTTTTAGACCCACATAAAATTAAGTCTCTTTTCTGATCCTTAACTGAAATTTTCTCTAGAATTAACATGTACATTAATTTGAATATAGATTCATTAGTTAAAAGACGCGCACACGCATGTGATCACAATTCTCGGTTCAGTCTTGCGAGGTCTTCGCAGCAGACGCCGAACTGAAGATTTCGTACTATACTAGACAAACCAATATCAAGAACAAGGCCAATTGAGCTTCTTAACAAAGACACATCACAACTCAACTTTTTAGTTCTGCTACATGTGAAAACCCATGGGTTCTGTTATATCACAGTCGTTTTTGATAGAAGGCCCATAAGGGAAGCCCAAATTCACCTCTTGGACTCCAACAATTAGCATGTGTGGCCCAGGTTTAAAAACCTTCAATTGAAATAGTTGCCGTCAATTAAAATGTTATCTTATCAGTAAAAATAGTCTTCTAGAGGTCCACAATTTTGGGCTTCAACTTTCAGGTGTCTAAATTTTTCTTCTAAGAGTTTTTAAATGTCATGATACCCTCTATATTAAAGGATTATATATTGATTGGAAGTGGAAATATTGAGTTTTATCTAAAATCAATATTAAATGGGGGTTGTTTTGGTTATTGAAGGTTATGGGTCACTAGTTAGCTGTTGGAACAATGATCTAAGCTTGTTTTATTTGAAAAGTTGATTTGTGAATTTTTTTGTAATTTATTTTTTGGGAAATTTTTGGATATGGAATTATATACCTTGTTTGATTAATTAATTAAAGAGTTTTATATCATTTGCTATCTTGAATGATCTTGAATGATGCTTGTATGGTATACAAAGCTTTCACTACAACATTTTTGTTTTGTGGCAACAATCAAAAACCGTTGCAGTAGGGTGGAAAATTGCTGCCCATAAGTATAAGCAATGGTTTTTAAGCATGGAACCTGCTCCTATTATTTATAGTCTATGGCAATGGTTTTTTTATATTTTAGGCTATGTATCATAAAACTGTTGCCTATAGTGATACTATGCAACGGGTTTAGGATGCCACAATTGGCAACGGTTTTTAACCGATTGCTAAATTTAGCAACTACAAAATGTTGCCAAACTATGTGAACAGTTTATACCTGTTGCCAATCTTAAATAAATATGGGCAATGCCTATCAAGTGTTGCCATTTTTAATTGAATGCATAAAATATAATTCATATACAATAATTACATATAAATCTATCGCCTAAAGAGCCTAATGGAAACGATCTAATTAAGAATTACATAATTCAAAAAATATTCTCCCCATTCAAAATCCAATGAATTTAATACCGTGTTTACAGCATCATTCAAGTACACCAATAAATTCCAATAACGCAACTGTTTACAGCATATAAAGTTCAGAAAAACTAACAACCCAATCCATAACGAAATATACACATACTAACTTAAACGAATCATTTTTTTGACATCCTCCCGCCAGCTACAAGCATTTTCAAAAGAAGCTTTAACCTGAAAAAATAGTTAAATGTCATTAGAAATATTGTCATATGAACAAGCAACAATACAAAATTTGTTAATAAGAAGGCATCATATCAATGGAAATAAATTTATGAAATACACACACACACACATGCACCTTGCTTATATATAGCCATTTGGAGTCTTGTCAAAGACCTTGAATGCCTTTTTTAGATCCTCCTCTGCCTCAATTTCCTATTCACAGAAAACAAATCAATTTACTTTTATTGGTATAGACTTATCTTTTAGTTTCTCAATCAGCAAAGCTGATTCCACCTATAACATAAGTTAAAATAACAAACAACTATTTAATTCATGTCATCCCAAGTTTTCCCAAATTCCCACCCACCTTACACTTACAACGAAAAGCAGAACAGCCCCCAAAAACATGTATGATACAATTCAATCCACAAAATTCAAGTGTCAGGAGTTGTGACTTACCTCATTTTTTTTGGCTATTTAGTATTTAGTAGAGTGGTAGCCAATCATTTTTCAGCAGCAAATTTTTATCCTTCACTTCTTGAATCTCTTGCCTCCAATCCATTATTTACAACTTTATCAAGAAGAATGCCCATCAATGACATTCATCACTATTCCCTAAAAACCATCATTATATATGCATGAATCAGTGTCCCCGACTTATATAAATTGGCAATCTTGTAATTCCCAATTAAAAGATATTTGTGATCATTTTTAAAGTGATGTAACACAAGAAAACCATATTCGCAAAAATGTTAAAAAGAAAGGGAAAAGCTGGATAGAAGCATACAAAAGTTAATGGGAAAAGGGGGGAAAAAAACAGAGAGAGAAATGAAACACCAACAGAAGAAGTTAAAATACATGTCTGTTAACCGAACTTGCAAACCAAATGGGATTGTCATACTTTTTATGTTTACTTTTTCCCCCATCTGGTCCTGCCGTATTAACAATAGATCTATTCTGACGAAAAAAATTAACAGAACCTCAATTTAATGCCCGAATATGGATTGCTTACCAAAAAAATATCCTAACATGGATTAAATAATTTAGCTAAAAATGGATAAATGCTATGCCTTATGTTCTGTTGAGATATATGCCAAAACAGAATCTTTGGACCCAACAAGCAGTACATGGAAGCTCATTCACCGACAAAAGTAGAGAACAGAACAGCATCATTCAGATTCACAATGTAAAGCAACAGACAACAATCTCATCCCAATTAGATAAAGAATCACAAATATGATAATTTCAATCTCTTCCCACAATCAAAGAGAGAATGAACTCAATACAACAAATAGGATTAAATTCAAATATTTTAGGAAAAAGAAACAAGATTATGTTCACTCACCCTTTTCACCAATAGAGTCAATGTCTGATCTGAGAAAATAACTGCTTTGCTCAGCGATCAAGAGTGATGGCGTTCGGATACTTGGTCCCTCTCGCAACTAAAACTCTGTATATTTCCATTTCGGACTTGCTTCATTGTTCGATCAGTCTTCATCAAAAGCTTCGCATCTGATCAAATTTCCACGAGGATTAGCTGACAGAACATTCGCCTCTGAAAATTTCCTAGTCGGAGATGAAAGGTGCAAGAGTTTGACCTCTCGATCAAAGTGAGCGTTCTACCTCATCAATTACAGATCCTCTCAATAAATGATTCTTCTGTCAAACAAGTGAATCGTCTCCTGATCTCCTCCACTATCGATTTCACCACTTCATCACTTTTGCCAGAAGAGGGGAAGAGCTGTGCTATTGGGCAAATAAAGAATGAGTGAAAGAATTGGGCAATAGGACAGTCTGAGATTGAAACGCTAGGTCTCCAGCGTTTTGATTTCTATATTAATTATTTTGTTTCTTTTAAAAAATAAGAACATTTGAATTTAATTTTTTTAAATTTTAAATAAAATTTTCTTACTTTAAAAATAAAAGATAGTTATACAGATAATTTGATGAATAAAGCTAGGAGATAATCAAGAAATTAAATTTTCTTATCCAAATATATTTTTTATTTTCTCACTTTTTAATTTTTTTAATTTAAAAGAAAATAAAAAATGTAAAGCTATCTTTTTAAAAGACAAAAACCAATAAATGTGTGTTTTTTTTAATATGTTATTGAAAGATAAAAATATAATAGGCAGCAGATAATGAATTTTCTTACCCAAACGTATTATAATTTTTTCTATTTTCTATTTTTAAATTTACGAAAAGAAAAATTAAAGGGAGTGGCATAATCTTTTTAGAAAACTTTTCTTTTTACCTTCATATTAATTCCAAATGCCAGTTTGGAATAAGATATAATTTCTATAGGCAACAATTATTTTGTGTTACCAATTTGGAAAATAAATGCAACATTCATAAAACTATTGCTTATTTAATAAATAGAATGCCAACAGTCAACAACTGTTGTCTAATTAAAATGAATTATGCAACAGGTGAAAAACCGTTGCCTATTTTACAATAAGCAATGGGTTTTTAATGTTGCTCAATATTTGTTGCCTGAAGTGGGAGTTAAAAATTACACTTAAAAAACTATTGTCTATTCTTATATCAGACAACACTTTTTCTTCAATTTCAAAGATAGCTGTTGTCGTAGCTTTAAAATGTTATAGCGTCTATAATATGTTTTTTTGGGGTATAAGTTTTATATTATGGTTTGGTCTATAATAGTAGGGTGATGATCAATCTTAGTATCATTCTAGGTAAAACCTTCACCAGTTAAATGAGAAAGGGTTAGATTTAGTAGAAAGTGTTAATTTCTTGCAATATAATGAACAAATATTAAATCCTTATTAGAATAGGTGCCCACATTTAGTATTCTATTGTTATTTCGAATAAAATTGCTTCCAATAAGAGGATAAACAAAGGTAGAAAAAAAATCTTAATAGCATTTGATTATGTATAAGAGCTTATGTAATTATATTAGGGGTGTTCACGAGATAGGACGGGATCGGATACCCCTGTCTCGTGTCTCGTCCAGCAAAAAAGATCGGAATTGAATTTTTATTTCATGTTCCATCTTATCTCAAAAGTCATCCCGTTTTGTTAAGAATCGATACGGGACTTGGATGAGATCGGGATGTCTCGCCATTTTGATAAATTGGATAATGTCAGAGAAAAATCTAATAATAACATTCATTAAAATTTTAAATTATATAATTTATTAAGTTTAAAATTAAAATGACACAAGTATATAAATTACAACAATTTAAAGCCAATTGTTGAATTACATTAATTACAACTACACATTATGATAGCAATTACAATAATAGGCAAGCCAAGTATGACATCAAATTATTGTTCTTCTACTTCAGTTGAGATGTGTTAAGCTAATTACTCTTCTAAAAATAAAAAAAAAATATGATATAAATAAAATTATTAAATAAATAGATATAAGAATAAGTTGTATTAATATAATCAATATATTATAAAGAAAGATACACTTTGTTTACTCTATATTATTAAAATTATCAATATAAAAAATTTTAGTTTTATATAAGAATTGCAACTATTAAAATTATAATTAATATAATTAATATAAGTATAAATTATATTAGCATAATTAATATATTTAATATACATTTTTAAAATAAAAATAATATATATAATACTCGGGATGAGATGAAACATCCTGATAATAATCTCGTGTCCCATCCTGTCCCGGAAAGTCTCATCTTCAATTGTTTTTGGATTGGGATAAGACTCGTCCCAATATAATTGGGACGATATCGGACTAATCGAGATGATATAAACTAAACACCCCTAAATTATATATTATATTAGTGCTTTAGGACCTAGATTAACCCGAGTCTAACCGGCTGGACCATCATCTAGATAAAAAAAAGACTCAATCTGTCTCCTTAACTTGTTTTAGGGATTGGCCTCTTTTGCACCATTTTAAACTGGGTAGGTTTAACATTCCATAATTAACTTGGAACCCATAACGGTTGGATAGGACCCCTTTTTCTTTTTCCTCTTGCTTTAGCAATAATAATTTTTATTCAGTTTTAAAAGATTTATGTCAACTTCCTTTTTAGTTGTTATGGTAAAATTTTTAGTGAGTTGTTATGGTAAAAATTTGAGTGCATATTTTTTTTATTAACATTATATGGACAAAAAATCATTTGCTTTAAGAGGACAAATAAGATAAATAAAAAAATATCTATAAAAAATGAAAAAAAATTAAAACTTAATATGTTATGGTGTCTTAACAACTTTGAATTGGGAATGAATTTTTTGATATTTTTAATAATATATATACATATCATTATTATTTTTATTTAATTATTATATTACTTGTTCAACTACCTATCTAACTAGTTAAATTATGAAAATCATAAATATTTAAACTTTTAATTTCTCATCCAGTTTTATTTTTAACGCTACTATATAATAGTTATTTATAAATAATTGTTATATAGACTTTAACTATATAACAGTTTTTTGCTTTTAAATTATATAGTGTCAGAATATATAGCGGTTAAAAATAACTATATATTGACAAAAATAATCATTATATAGAAACTTTTTTTTTAAATAGTGATGGATCTCACATGATTTTCATTCAAAACATTAATTGTGAGGTGCATGTTCTAGTTTAACTTTTCAAAATGCACCAAAGGCGTGACTCCTTTTCTCGGGGACACTTTTACTTGTTTTACTTTAATATATATATATATATATATATATAATCAATAACGGTGTGCATGCATTGGTTTGTAAATTGTGTATATGCATCGTAAGATTCTGTCAAGACTCACGTGCTTAATTGGTGCAATGTCTGAAGATGGTATCCCATTTGCATTTGGCAATCTATGTTATTAATTTCTATAACTTGCTCCCTCCATTTTAAAATATAAGATATTTTTTAAAAAGTAAATGTTCAAAAATATAGGGCGTTTTTAGTCTTTTGAGGTGTAATCATTATTTTTTTTTTCAAAAGTACCCTATTGATAATGACTTTATATTTATTGTAAGGTGTAGGGATAAATATAAAAAATATGATTAGTTAAAAAGTAAGTAACTACTTTATTGATATGTGAGATTGGTTAAAAATGTCTTATATTTTTAAACGTAAAGAGTATTTATTAGGATAGGTACATTTTTGGATGAAATTTATTCCTTAATATGTTACATACGTCTCATATATACGTAATAATCAATTATTGAAGAATCAATGCACAAAATTAGGAAGAATCCAACTATTGATCGTGAATTTTATTTCTCATACTTTGTATTGTACACAAATGACATGTTTATTTATTTTTATTCTATTACTTTCATTATGTATATTAAATAGATATAGTGGATGATGATACGTAAGGGCGTCCGACGGCTAGACAATATGGTGATTATGGTAAGTTTCTTCAATATGCAATGTAATTGGACGAAACTTCTTGTAGTCCAATATTAAACATCGTAATTATAAACTAATGATTTATATTTGAGTATTTATTGATGATTTTTATACTCTTCATTACAATCGTAAATAAGAAATGTATCAGAAGTGTAATATGTAATGAATTTGAATATATCTATATTCATTATTTAAAAGACTTAATATCACACAGATTGTGCTAATTAATTTTAACATATCTAAGAATTAAAGAAAAAGAATGTTGGTTTAACTTAAAGCACATGTACATGATCATCATTAAAACAACTTTCTATTTTTTTAATATTTTGAATGAAGTATATGGACACCTATAACAAAAATACTACAAGGTAATTATTCTCAATTCAAATATATAAATTGTAGAACTTGAAAATCATTTTTAAATAGTAATAACATTATATATACAATAAGAACATTAACACCGATACATAAGAGATTTGAGACATTATAGATTTATCGTAGTTCAACATAATACCTATGTCCGGTGATCAAAGAATACTTAAATAAATTTTCATGTAACCAACAATATAAGATTTTATTTAATATCAAATTCTTCAACAACTAATCCATAATTCACAAGCTAGCTAGCACAGAATTAGGCAGACAAAGCCTAGAGGGTCTCAACTCAAGCGAACAAATTAATTTGCTCAAGACAAAAAACACACGTCTTTTCTATGCGCTCGCAACCACAACTTTAACTTAACAACGAATTAGTGTTATAATAAGATGAGGACAATAACAAGAAGTTTTATCCAATTAAATAAGGAAATATAGTTTTACAACAAAACTCATAAGACAATCTCTTCTTTTTTATTCATCACGTTCTCTGGATCTTCGTTATTTGCTATTTAAATTCTCCAAAATAGTTCTATTGAGATGCTGACGCTCATCTGCGGTCTTGTCAATTAATCAGCATAATCCCTTTTCCTATCATGCTTTTCCTTGCTCCATTCATGATATTCTTTCTTTTTCTACAATAATAAAAAAATAATCCCACGAATTAAGACATTCATAACGATTTTGTGCATGACAATCGATGTTCATTTCACGGCTTTTAGGGAATCGCCAAAAAAAAAAAAGAACTTATTAAATTAAATAATTGAAATACTTAGTCTTTTCGACACTTCATTTTTATTTCCTTTTGCTTGCAATGGTTTTTGCTAGCCATTTTTTTGGGAAAAGGAAAAAAAAATAAATAAAAATGTTATAATTTTTTTTTACTATTAAAAGTTGAGTAGGAACATTGTATGGTAATTAAAAGAATACCTAATTAAAAGAATACCTAGTACTATATTTCAAGTTCAATGCATTTCTTAAGTAATTAATATGGAGGTATGGCGATACATGTATAAATACAGGCCTATTGAAAAATTAAACACACAATTAG